GGGCTGCGGGCCAGCACGAGCTGGCAGAGGGCGGCGCTCTCTTCCCGAGGAGAGCCCTGCTCAGCCCCACGCCAGACAGGGGCCTGCAAGGGCCGAGCCGACCTTCTGGGACAGCACAACCAACCTTCTGGGACGGCGGAGGGTGTCCCCCAGCAAAGGACACGCCCCAAGCTTGCAGGCCGGCGTGGCGGGGCCGCCCCGACAAGAGGACACGTGGCGGCCCTGCTGGCACCGCCCGCCTCTGCCGACGAAAGGCGGGGCAGAGTCTGAGAGCCGCCTACCTTCTCTCCTATTTGGGTTTCGAGTTCTCTCCAGGTCCGACAGCAGTTCTTCTCATTCCCATTTCCCCTTAAAAATAGAATTGAGGGGAAAAAAAAATAATAGTGAGCAGCCATACACCAGACGCTTTGCGGGGGTGGAGTGGGGAGTGGGGTCAGAAGCGGGCGCGGGGAACGCTGGGACTGTGGTGGTCGGGCGACGGGGAGCCCGAGATGGGAAAGGGCACACGACGACGTAACAACAAACATACTAAAAAAGTGTTTGTAACGGTAAATAAAATTAGAAAAAGTAAAAGCGAAATGTTGAACTGCAGGGAAAATAATCTAGCTTAACATTTTAAAAAATGAATCGATTCAAAAACTATTGCCAAAATATAGATAAATTACTACTTGTGGTAAAAAAAAAAAATTAATTAAAGTGAAGACACTGTTAAGCTGTCTTAACCTAACAGACGCTCACGTAGGACATGCAGGGACCAAATTGGAAGGGTCGGGCCCGCCGGGGCCGCAGCGGGTTAGCGCAGCACTGAGAAGCTAGAGCCCACGAGTTCGGCCCCCGCCCGCCCCGAGGTGACCCCAGGGCGCGCAGACCCCTCCTGGCCCGCCCGCTGCTCCCCTCGGCAGTGCACTTCGTCGATCGGCCTGCTGTGCTCCCCGCTCTGTCTCTGGTGAGGCCTCTCGCGGCCCCCGCACTTCTGGCCTGCACCCCACTTCTCGATGCATAAATAAATCAACCTTTAAAAACCTGGAAGGGTTTTCAAATCGCGCGGGTTCAAAGGCCGGGTATTTCTGTGCATGTGCCAGAGGCGCGACCGTGGGCAGGTACCTAGCGCCGCGGCCTCAGTTTCCCCATCTGTGAGGGATGCGACAGCGCCGCCTCCTTCCAGGGCGGCGGGACCGAGCCCTGCGAGCGGGCTGGGCGCCGGCTGCGGCCTCGTCTCGCCCAGTTTGATCCTCAGAGCAGCTGTGCGCCTGGGGCCACGGGGCCCTGCCACCCTCGCCCCCGCTGGCTCACCAACGGGTTTTCATTCCGCACGAGCTGCATCTCTCACAAAGCACCCCAGAGCCCTCCTGGAGCAAAGTGGCAGGGTTGGGGTGGGGTAAGGAGTGCAAGGCAGAACCGGGGTGGGGGTGGCCTCCATATCACAGAGCGGCCTGGGCCGGGGCCACAGTGACCTCGACACTATTCTCAGGCCTGAGCCAGCGTGATGCGAGCGACAGGGACGGCAGGAAGCGAGCGAGCGCGTCAGCAACACGAGCTGGACAGCGGCAGGGCGGGTAACGGGGCAGGGGGGGTGGGTTGGTGGCCGCGCTGGCGGGCTGTGAGGGAAGGGAGGGCCCCTCTCGGCAAGGGTCACCTCAACAGAGACCCGCGGGCTGAGGAGCCAGGTCCTGTGTAATGGCAGCAAAAGCAACAAGAGGGAAGGTGGGCGGGTCACGGGGCGCGAGAGCCGCAGGGCAGCTGGCGGGAGGGGGCGCAGCCGCGGCGGTGGCCAAGCACTGCCACCTCCGCTGGAGGCCGGCAGCGTCTTCGGACCCAAGGCCAGCCTCCTCTGTGGTGCTCAGAGGGCTTTTACAAACCTCTGCAAAGGCCTGTCTGATCATTTTACACACCGAGGCTGCAGCCTTGAGTCAGGGGCACCGTGCAAGAGCCTGGAGGTCCGAGCGCAGGGACGGCACTCGAGCCCGTGCCGACGGCCTGTGTCGGCCAGCAGCGGGCCTCGGGGGCTTGCTCTGTTCAGCGTGTGTGATCGCTCGGCTGTTTCCAGTGGGTGGACGCCGCTGCCGTGCCACAGATGGTGCAAGTGTCTGCTGGCGTGGACGCCGCTGCCGTGCCACAGATGCTGCAAGTGTCTCTGCTGGCGTGG